TAGCACCGTTGACTTGGAGGGAGACAGACACAGGAGTAACAACACTTGAGGGAGGAAAGACCAGAATTTCAGTTTTGGTCAAGTTTAGTTTAAAGAAGTGGGCAGCCACTTAATCTCAGGGGAAATGGCTACCTATGAGAAAATGGTGATGGCAGACATTAATAAATTAAAAAAAAGCTAACCACTACCAACAAAACCTTAAAAGAGAAGAATATAAAATTTTAAAAAACTACAGAAGGATAATGATATCGTAATTAAACCGGCGGACAAGGAAGGGGGAATAGTGGGGGCGTGGCTTCAACGCTGAAGAGAGCAGACGCATGTCGGCTAAGCTCCCGCGGCGGGCATAATAAACGGCAAGTACTGGGGCACCTACCTACCCTAAACCAGCCCGGGACCGGGTCAAACAATACAGCTCACAATGGGGAAGAAGGCGAAAAAGCTAAAAACCCTTACCGGGAACGGCACCCGTGATATCGCTGACCTCCTACAGCCGCGGCCTAGACCCAAAATGGCGCCGCACATAGACGCCTATTCTACATCTTCTGAGGAAGAAATTCTAGACGCACCTGATGAAATCCCCTGTCCATGGAGCATGAACAGCCCTCAAAGAGAGGAAGACCTAACAGCCCCAGCTACAAAAGGGGACATCAAAGCTCTATTAACGAATATAAGAGCTTTCTTCAATGTAGACTTGAACATTATGCGTGAGGATATCACAGTGGTGACAGCAAGACTGCAGGCTAACGAGGATGCCATAACCTCCCTAGCCCAAAAGCAAGAAAGCACCAACGAGCACTTGCTACAGCTCCAAGCATCACACAAAAGCATGCAGGTCAGACTGGACACCCAGGACGACGCAAGGAGGCGTAATAATCTTAAAATCAGGGGTATAGCCGAATCAGTTACCGACCAGGAACTGCCCCATTTCTTACGCCGACTATGGACTACCCTACTGCCACAGCGCTCTGCGAAGAGCATTCAGGTAGACGGCTGCTATAGACTGGCTAAGTCAAACAGGGCCCCGGCTGGGGTTCCCCGAGACGTCCTGATACGTTTCCCGCTACTTCGCGACAAGCTGGCACTGCAGGATGCTGCAAAATCCAGAACACCTCTTAAGTTCGAGGAAATGCAACTCCAACTCTTACAGGACTTATGCCGCTCCACTCTGGAATGGAGACGGTCTTTTCAACAGGTGACAAAGATCCTACGCTCTGCAGACGTCAGCTACAAATGGGGGCCCTCTCGAGCTCTAATAGTCCAGAAAGACGGGAGCATGCATCAGCTTTCCACCACAGAGGACTCAGCGACATTCCTGCAAGGACTGGGCCTTACCATGTCTTCTGACAACACGGCACGTCCAAGCCACAGATGGGACATACGCAGGATTGTCCCTTTTACCCCACGCTCTGCAGATGACACCGGCTGACTGATGATGCACCAGCAGTCACAAAGACCTGGACTGATTCCCACACCAGTACCAGACACCCCCGATGTTTCAATGTTTAAATGCTATATGTCTAAATGCTATCGTTTTAATGTTTTCGCACCGCCCGGCACTGTTAGAATTCCCGGGTCATAAATAATACAGATGACCCTAGGCGACCGCACACTTCTTACAGTATGTCCCGATTAGAGGACACAGACACCGGAGTTTCCCCTCCGCTCACCTCCCCATCCCCCTCCCCCCCCCAACACTCTGGGGTAACTGAGTGTAAATCGATAATCAACACACCCGACTGACCACAATTTTGCCTAAGTGTAAGACAGGACCACGGATGCTCAATGCATCTCCTAACACTTCACTCACCATACTACCTTACAATGCTTAGCCACTTGCCTATGTTTATGCAAAGGTCAGCCACTCTCCCTTTACAGTAGCCCCAGACATCTACTGGTTAGCCTGAAAGCTAAGCTACCATAAAATCTTTAAAATGTGCGATATATACAAATGCCATAACCCTGTTTTATATGTCTTGTTATCGATCTGTGTGCAGAGGCTGTTGTGGCTTACTGAACACTATGTTATTTCTTTGCACGCTATAAATAAAGAATTTAAAAAAAAAAAGGAAGGGGGAATAGTCATTTTAGACATTAAAGACTATCATACAGAGTGCATGAGGCTATTGAAAGACCAAACCACTTACACAAGATTAAAAAGTGATCCAACAAGTGTAATCAAAAACAAATTCTATGATCTCATCAATAGGGGTCTACATAAGGAGATTTTAAACAAAAAAGAGTTTGAATACCTCAATGTAACACACCCAAAGATTCCCGTGTTCTATTACCTCCCCAAAGTACACAAAAATCCTGAACTCCCACCTGGAAGACCCATAGTCTCAGGCATCAACTCTATATCATGTAGACTCTCAGAATATGTGGACAAGTGCATTCAACCTATAGTACGAGGCATCCCTAGCTAACTTAAAGATACAGGAAGTATTCTGAGACACCTACAAACCATCAAATGGGAACAGGACTATTATTTGGTAACTGCGGATGTCAGTTCTCTATACACTATTATTTCACATCAGAAGGGCTGTGCAGCAGTGAGATTATTTTTAGAGCAATCCCATTCATTTGAACTAGAACAAGTAAATTTTATTATGGAAGCAATACAATTAATTTTAACCAGCAATTACTTCTGGTATGATGACACTTTTTATTTGCAGGCTTGTGGAACGACGATGGGCACCAGGTTCGCACCCAGCTACGCCAGTCGTTTTATGGCAGAGTGGTAACGCCAGTATCTACAACTCAATGGGAGCTGGGTGGAGGGCCTGGTGACCTATCGCCACTACATAGATGACCTGTTTTTTATGTGGAAAGGCACAGAGGATACATTACACACCTTTTTAAATCAATTAGACAATAATGAATGGGGCATCATCTTAACAACGAATTTTAGTAAACAAACGGTCACATTTTTAGATTTGGACATTTTTATAGATAATGAAAAGATAGAAACCAAAACCCATTTTAAGGATGTGGACGTCAATAGTTTTATCCATACTTGCAGTTGCCATTTTTCCCCATGGCTAAATAGTGTACCCAAGTCACAACTCATATGAATTAAAAGAAATTGTACAGATGAGGAGAATTTTAAGGAACAAGCTGACAAATTAATTACCGATCTGTTGGATAAGGGCTATAAAAAGGAAAAAACAGAAGACACTTATACACAAGTTTTAAAGATCCCACAAAGCACCTTATTACAAGAAAAGAATAAAACACAAAACGAAGGAGAAGTTAATCTACCCATCATATGCAACTATAGCCACAATAATAAGGCATTAAAGAAAATTCTAAATAAACATTGGCCCATCCTACTACAAGACCATGCCCTATCTCAAATCTTACCAGCAAAACCCAAAATAGTGTTCAGGGGTGCTGCTAACTTAAATAGACTCTTGGTAAAGAACCATATTAAAAAACAAAAACCACCACCTTCCAAGATAAAGGAAAGGGCTTTTATGGATGTGGCACATGCTTAGCATGCAGGAACTCAAATAATAAAAAAGACATTAAAAAATGTAAGAATTTTAATAATAATGAAGAATTCCCTATTAAAGACCTTATAACCTACCATTCAAACAATATAATATATCTATTAGAGTGCCCATGTGGTTTAAAATATGTGGGACGCACCAAATGAAATTTACACACTAGGATTGAAGAACATATCAGAAACATCAAGAAAAAGTTTAAGGGACATAGTGTATCACACCATATTTCCTTAGCGCACAATAGTGACCCCACACAACTCAAATTTATGGGTACACATAAAGTTAAGGGCAATTGGCGAGGAGGGGATTTTGCCAAGTTACTGGGACAGAGTGAGATGAGGTGGATATTCAACCTTGGGACTTTAAAACCACAGGGTTTGAATATAGACTTCGAACTCTGCCATTTTATCTAAACACATACTATTTCATTACGTTCCACCATTTCTTATATATATGTATACACTATTACAGATATAGTATATGTATATATGATATATTATTTACATATGTACATATATATCACTCCCCCACCCAGTGGCACATTATCTATGTTTTAATTCTATATCAACTGTGAATACCACTTAAAGAATACATAACTTATATCCCTAATAGACTCAATATATCCAAAAGGATATCCATCCTTATATGATTTAATTTATTACTATCACTTTAAGAAAACCCATCACTTTATAAGCACCTATGCACTTTAACAATTATTAATCATATTCATAACATAAAAGTTTAATGATACACAATTATGTTTAAGATTACTATGTGAGATCCCTTTATATCATTTTTAAATTTTTTAACCTTGTTATTTTCGGGGTTTTTTGCCTATATACTCCTATACAAGCACTTTCTGCCCATCACGCCGGAGGGGGAGGAGCTAACGGCCATGTCGACACGCCTTATGGGCGGCACACATCGGCATGGCCACGGACTACCCCCTCCTACACTAGAATCCACTCCCCCCGACCTGCACGCATGGGAGATGTGCGGCATGGCCGGGGAGTTAGGGGTATTCCGGGCGGCGGCTGAGTGATGATCACGTGGGTTCGTGACGTCACTTCCGCCAACTGCCCGGACGCCACTTCCGCCAACCGCTGAGTGACAGTCACGTGGATACGTGACATCAGTTCCGCCAACCACCCGGATGAACGCAGAATACTTCCGCCAACCACTACTGCCCACCAATGAGAGTAATAGTAAATAAAGACGCCGATAGCCTCTACCTATTAAAGGCACACACACTTATTCCCTCATATGATAAATGTAAACTACATTATGATTGGACCAAATGCGCTTAACTCATTAAAGGGGAAGATCCAAGAGACATTTAAAAATGGAAGATTCTGAGGACCTACACTACAGCTGACTGAAGAAGCTCTATTTCAGAGTGAAACGCGTATTGGCCATTTTTAAAGGACTTTTATTGAGGACTTTTTAACACATTTGTTTTTATATATTATACATCAATAAATTTGTTATTTTATCCAATACCCCACTCAAGTCCTTTTTTGGAGCCCCCAGAGAATCTTCATAGGGGTAGTGCAATCCCCATTCAAATTGGCACAGAGTTTACACACCTAGAGCCGGGACCCATAGGCTCAGGACCAGGTGAGCACCACATTTACTAATATATATGTGTGCTTTTATGACCACAATCTACACATTGGTTCGCTCTCCCTCTGTTTTTGTCTTTGAGAATTTCTCCAAATCGAAGCAGAAGGGTGGTGCTACCATAATAAGCACACAAGCTACGGAGCCAGTGTTTCTACATGCAGGCTCCTTGAAATGTGAGTGCACAATTCATTACGATATCATTATAACTATTGCATTGCCACTTTAAATACCATCTGCACTATATTGTACTTTTTTTGTATTTTTCTCCACATGTACTTTTTACTGTACCATTGTACGAAATAACGTTTGGTAAGCTGTATATGTGTTTGAGCGCTCCACTTACAGGTGTAGGTCCTTGTTACTTACACCGCACTAAAATCTACAATTCTGTTTAGTGGGATAGAGGATATTTCCACACAAGTGTATAGAGCTGCCTGTAAATCACTTCCATCTTTTAAGCACTTTGTTACACACACCCCACCGTAAAAAGAGGTAACCTTTGAAGTGGGCAGCCATCTAGTTAGAAACAGCAGAGAGGCAGGCAGAGACACTAGTCAAGAGGGATGGGGAGAGATCAGGAGAGGACAGGTAGATTTGTGTGTCATCTGCATAGAAATGATATTGAAAGCCAAAGGAGCTAATGAGTTTACCAAGGGAGGCAATATAGATGGTGTTGTGGAAATAAGGTCTGCACATATTTCCTAGTTAGTGAAAATGTCTATTTACTCATTCCACGATATATCATATATAAAGCTGAGCACACATGTTTTAATCAAAATGGCTGCTAGAAGCTTCTAAACCCTCCTTCCCCCCCCCTTCCCTTCTTAACACCAACTAACTACCTCGTGCAGCAAGATGGCGCCGGGAAACCGTGGGAGACCCTCATGGTCCCGGTGACATCACTTCAGTAGGCAGAGCATTAAAGCAACCACTTAACACCTAACCAATAATTGATGTATTATTCTATGTTATCTCTGACAATGCTTATGATGTAATTTTGCTTTAAAAGGGACCTGCCGTCCCCTCTGAATAAACTTTCCTCAAGTTATTCAACAACCTGGAACCTGTGTCTGGTGTGAATTACTTCAGGGAGCGTGCACGCATTGTTTCATTGATTTGGCCAGGGGCAGATACACAAAGAAATAATCAATGTATTGATTGATTTTTCCATTTCAATTGGCGCCCAACGTGGGGCCCACCGGAGAGCCGGTTCGGAGGGCCGGAACCAACGGACCGGAGCGGACCTCCGGAAAGTGGGACAAGCGGAGCCTGATCACCTCCATAATACAGCCGTTGCCTGTGTTGTTCTCCTGTTTTGTGTCGGTCTGTCTCCGAGTCCACTTCCGGCTTCCAGAAGGCTACTAGAGACAGGTAATTAACTCATCCGGTGTGCCCTTTTAAAGTGAACCTGTCGATTGTCTATCTGCCTCCTGTATTCATCTGTATGTTTGTGTGTCTCTCCTTCTTTTAAAATATGTTTGCTTGACTGCCTAGCGGGCAGGGAACGCATTTTATATGTTTGCTTGACTGCCTAGCGGGCAGGGAACGCATTTTATATGTTTGCTTGACTGCCTAGCGGGCAGGGAACGCATTTTATATGTTTGCTTGACTGCCTAGCGGGTCAGGGAACGCATTACAGCCGGTGGGGCTGGGATTATATGTTAGCTTGACTGCCTAGCGGGCAGGGAACACATTACAGCCGGTGGGGCTGGGATTTTATGTTAGCTTGACTGCCTAGCGGGCAGGGAACGCATTACAGCCGGTGGGGCTGGGATTATATGTTAGCTTGACTGCCTAGCGGGCAGGGAACGCATTACAGCCGGTGGGGCTGGGATTTTATATGTTAGCTTGACTGCCTAGCGGGCAGGGAACGCGTTACAGCCGGTGGGGCTGGGATTTTGTTTGACTATTGCAGTGTTTTCATTGGTACCTGTGTCATACCGGGACCAGCCTGGTGGGTGACGGCTGGGGATTGCTATACTCTGAATATTTGGCACCAGTGGTGTTAACATGTACATGGCCATTTTACTCTCTATCATTCTGTGGTTTCTGTTTAATTGTTGTTACAGTGTGGGTACCCTTGGTGTGTGTGTGTATTGTGTGGTTAGTTCTGGATTCCGGAGTTTACGCTCATTTATATGTTTGTGATTTTTGCAAATGTCTTCTCATTAGCGCAGCCACGTTCATTTTCTCGGGGCTCAAGTTCTCGTGGCAGTTCTCGTGGCAGTCGAGCACTGTAGACATTCTCTTTCCCTTGTACCTCCTCTATTTATCTGTCTTTAGCGCGTGGCACGCTTCGTTTACTCAAAATGGGACAGGAACACGCTAGACCTGCTAAGGGCTTGTTGGCTTGTGACATTGTGAAAGAAAGGGCAGGGGAAGATGCAATGTTGAAACTTAAAAAGATTGCTAAGGTGTGTGGCTTCCAGATGTTGCCCAGTGGGAGATTGCAGCCTGAGTTTTGGAGGAAGTTACTCATAGACAAGGAAGGGTTGTTGTTGGATAGTGGACTCACAAAGGTTGCAGAGGCTTGGTATCGGGTAGCTAGAGGTCTGAAACGGGAAGGATGGGTCGAGGAAGAGTTGGAGTTTGAGGGGAAAATCGTGTATGTTTACCATAGGAGTGTTAACAATGATGATGTTGTTTCCATTGTCCCGCGACCACCGCCCTATAATGGCGCCCAGAGCGCAACAGTAAATTCCCGCCCTGCTTCCCCCGTCACAGCACAAAATCCACCCCCCGGGGGTGTGCCTTCAGCTCCCACCCCCCTGTGCCCCGTACTCAGTGCGGATGGTGCTTACTATTACTCAGTGCCACTTCACTCGTTTCCACCCACTCCCATGCGCCAACCCCCCTATGACCCAGCCCCCTCCATCAACCATTCTCCCGTCACGTCTGTTGAAGTCCCCCCACCTCCATGTCCTCCGCTACCTCTCCCAGTGCCTGTTCCCACTCCGAATCCTCGTCAAGATCCCGTCCTGACTACTCCCGCCTCACCCACCGAAGTTCCCTCCTCTCCCTCCTCTCATCCCCTCTCCACCTCGAGTACCCCGTCCCTAGCAACACCCGCTCCCTCACCCTCCTCGTCTATTACACACCCAACTCCCCCGACCCTTGCCCATTTTACCGACCCCGTTCCTCCGGACCCCTGTCCCCCCACGGACCCTCCTTCACCCATGCCCCCGGACCCAGACCTTTCCTCTCTTCTCGCTAGCCTTTCGAAATTGACCTGTCCCGTGACCCCTACCCCTTCACCCTCTCTGCCCTTCCCTCCTTCTCATTCCCCTTCGCCCTTCTCCTCCAAGGATCCCTCATCCCTACTTTGCACTCTCATGAATCTTGTCCAGCCCGTTAATCCCGGTCCCCTTGCCTCTGCTCCCTTATGCACAGACACCCCTCCCATCCTCCAGGACCCTCCCACTAGCCACACAGTGTTGCCTCCTCCTCCCTCGGCCGATTTGCCGTCCCTAATCTCTGCCCTCACCGCCCTGACCCAACCCCCCGTTACCACTCCTCCAACCCCTTCTCCAGTGTTACCTCCTCCTCCCGAAGTCCCGGCCCCCTCTACCTCGTTGCCTCCTCCTCCCTCGGCCGATTTGCCGTCCCTAATCTCTGCCCTCACCGCCCTGACCCAACCCCCCGTTACCACTCCTCCAACCCCTTCTCCAGTGTTACCTCCTCCTCCCGAAGTCCCGGCCCCCTCTACCTTGTTGTCTCCTCCTCCCCCGACTGGTTTGCCATCCCAACCCTCCACCCACGTTATTACGACACAGCCCCCTGGTCCCATCCCTCCGACCCCTCCCCCGGTGACCCCTGACCCATCCACGGCCAATGACCTGTCTAGCTCGATATCCGCCCTCTTCTCTGCTGTTACCTCCCTGGTTAATTCCGCGATCCCCGTGCCGCCTCCCACTGATTTACCACCTCCTCCTCCACCTCCTCCTCCTCCTCCCCCCGAACCTCCGACCCCTTCCTTGTCTCCCGCTAGCATCCCCGAGCCTTCCGATCCAATCTCTGCTCTTGCTCACGTCCTAAATACCCACCTCTCACGCCCATCTCAACCGGCCCCCATAACAGCCCCTTCCACGGCATTGATTCCTCATGTCCCTTCCGCCAGTCCTAGTTATCCAGTCATGGTGGTTGGGTCCGAGGTGTCTGTGACATCGGACCAACCCTATGCGATGGGTGCTTCCCCCCAGGCCTCAGGTTTCCACCCAACTACCTCTCCTATCACTGGCCTCCCTGCCGCCCCCGCCACAGCTACCCCTGAGACTACTCTCCATCGCGGCCCGGTGATACCCGAGGAGGTCGTTGTGGTGGACCAGGGCTCACCTCGCCTGGGGAGGAACAGGCACCCCCAACGGCACTCTATCCCCCAGGGTTATACCCAGATTAACCACGGAGCAGATGGTGCACCACCCATGTATGTTACCTTCAACCCTTCCCAAGCTGCTACCCTTGTGACCTCACTCCCTGATCCTGAGAAACACCCCATGCCCTTTTTCCGCAGGATGGCCCAGATCCGTAAAACATACTCCGCTGCTTGGCGGGATCTTATTAGTTTGTGTGAAATAAAGGCTGGAGATGCATACTGGCCAATTATGGAACGGAGCTTTAACGACGCTCCACTTACTTCTGATACTGATTTTCGTTCTGGTGAAATTTTCTGTGAACAGCTTCGAGCCTGGGCACAGGATAAACTGGCTGATCAGGCTACTTGCATAAATGACATAATTCAGGATAAACTTGAGACCGTTGAAAAGTATCACTCTAGGTTGACTCAGACTTTTTCAGACTTAGGATTCAGCACCTATAACAAGGCACACACCCAGATGCTATCTGCAGCTTTTGTGGCAGGTCTTAGGGAGCACATTCGTAAGGGGTTAATTTTAGCTCGCCCTGAGTATAGAATTATCCCACTGGACACTCTTTTGTTGGTAGCCAAAGGCTTAGAATCTGTTTTGCAACCCACACAGCGAAGGACCAGTCCTCTGATGTACACTACCTCCACCCCAATTGCAGGTTCTAACCAAGCCCCTCAGTTACTCCCTCAACAATACACTCAGTCACCCCA